TAAGGCCAATGAGGCAAACCGTAGAAGTGGTTCGGGGAGGTCATCATAGGTCACTGTGGGTCAGAAACATCCTGCGCCACGGGCGGCCCGAAACACTTCCGCCCCTGTGTCTAAAGACGAACCGTTTTCTGTGGCAAAACGTTTTGTACCGTTTCGAAACGGTATACCGTTTCTAGTCTAAATCGGGCCTAACTCTAGTTCCTCATAAGGGTATTGATTCCAGACTATACCTGATGTACAAAATGACTAATAAACAGACGTACCAAGTACTTGAAGTACCTAATATATGTCAGTCAGTCTGAGCAGACTATGACTAAACTGCACAGACCAACAAAACCAAGGGCTCAATCCTAATACCAGCTCAGAAAAGAACAAGAAATAGTCATGCCTTCAAGTACCAGAGTTATCAACCAAGGGTTGGGGTGTTCAAAAACTCATTCTTTCCTAGAACTATCGCATAGTGGAACTCGCTGTCACCAAGTACAGTGGGGCATCATCATTAGGTAGCTTTAAACATAATGTCTAGAGTTAGATGTTCAAGGGTTGGGTGTTCAGTGGGATGTAGCCAGCTGCCACCGTGCCACATGCCTGCGAAGCTGGTGTGTTATCAGAGTTCTAGCTAGCGCGAAGTAGCATAGGGGCCCCCTACGCTAAATTTCCCCCCTACACTATAATTTTGACGCTAAATTTTCAATACAGCATAGGGGCATTGTGACTGTATTTCTTTGTTCAAGAATGCCAGATCAAACGTGAAAAATTACCAATCAAGGATACATTGTACATACCTTAGAAATAACATTTTTTCCCTTTGGGTATCACTCAAATGGCCCCTTTTTTAGCTCAATTTTTTAAAAGCTCAGCCCCATCCCCCCTCTCAGTCGCTTCACTCCCTTGACATGCAGCCAGTACCACTACGCTAAAATTAAATCCTAGCTAGGTCGGTTATACCATGGAGGTAAACTTTTTTACCTCCATGGTTATACAAATACAGATTCATACCTGTGATTCACAACGTTTCTGTGTAATACATGTAAGGGACTGATTGATCAAGACTTTCATTGCTTTAACTTAAGACAAATTCCAAGCAAAGGGATAAATGATAATGATTTAGGAAGAACGAGATTAAAACCAAGACTTTATATGCTAAAAGATTATGTAGATAAAAAAACACAGAATTTATCATTTTGTTTCTAAACAATGTGAAGGTGATATATATTATGATATAACTATAACCACATGTATCTTTGTAAAAAGAGTTAGTGCGTATAGGTACATATAAAACTCTTTTTACATTGGATCTTTTTTTTTAACTCCGTCTTTAAACATGCTACTATTTTAATTTTGACGGGTTAAAATGTTACAAGGTTTTTAATACTTGTCTGTTGACTGCCAGATTGTGTGAGTACTCAATAAAACAATCATGGTGTTTAGAGTTAAAACTTAAGATCCAACACAAAGAAGTTTTCTCACCTAGAGCTTTCGACCAGTCATTCTGGTCTTCCTCAGTAGACTGACCCAGAGAGGCTTGTCACGTGGCTTCTTTGAAGTGTGACGTCAACACACTGAGAAAGACCAGAGTGACTGGTCGAAAGCTCTAGGTGAGAAAACTTTTTGTGTTGGATCTAAAGTTTTAACTCTAAACATGTAACTACCAACACAGATGAACTTTCATGATAACAATCCTGGTGACTGAGCAGATAGATAAAGTATTACAGGTAAGAGATCGGTGAGCAGCGTGTCTGCAATGTGTCTGACATTTTTTTAATGTATTCCAACATTTCATGACTAGACATGGTGACAGCACACTCAAGTTATATCAACTTAATGTATTTTATGCCGCCACCAACGCAGAGGACGAATACTGGAAAAGACAATACTCAGGAAAGTTGTGTAAAGTGCCTTTCCCTTGGGCACAAGATCGGTGGCATGGCAGGACTCGAATCCGGGACCTCTTGGTTCCGAGTCGAGCATGCTGCCGCTATGCCACACGACCTCACAATGTCTGACGTTGCTGTACGTTGTTTCTCACACATAGATGTCCCCACCTGGCTGAAAAGGCCCTGGCAGCACAACTATTCACCATACTTCTCTCAACATGAGAATAGGCTGCAATCACAAGGTAAAAATAATAGTGGGACGTTAGTGGAGAACAAGGGAACAATCTAGTAAGGCTGTTCATCATGTGTTGGAAATCATAACTGTTCAGGCACTGTTAGTTTGGTCTTTGTGTTGTAAAAATTTAACAAGGTTTCGCAAGAAAACTGTTACTCAAGCAACTGGGTGGATTTTGACAATCTATACGGTTACTCGAGTAACAGCGTTCTTGTGTATCTCATTGCCTGGATGTATAACCTTCATTGACATACCTTTGTAAGTTCCTATTTCTCCTGTCACATTTAAAATCGCCCCCACCCCCAGTTAGATACACTTGATTTTCTAACCATGTTTTGTCCAATTGCAATCGCTTCAGTTGATGTTCAATTCTAATCTTCCCACTTCATTGTGAAGAGAATAATGAATTTCTCGTTTGTCTCTCTTTGATTCCTTCTAACAGAACGACCTAGAGTTTTACAGAGCTTGTTCTGTTGCTCAGTTCTCAAACCCTCTAACATTTGTGCTTTCAACAATCATGCTACATTTTGTACATATCAGTAGAACGACAAGAATAATGACCACTTACAAAGAGGGTTAACATTACAACTTCACGTTTACAGTTAAAACTTTAGCTCCAACACAAAAATTCTCTCACTTAGAGCTTTTGACCAGTCACTCTGGTCTTCCTCAGTAGACTGACCCAGTGAAGGTTGTCACGTGACTTCTTTGAAGTGTGACGTCAACACTGGGTCAAAGGTATCTGGTAGACGATGTCGGCCCCCGTCGTGGTTCAATGTACCAGATACCTTTGGCCTAGTGTTGAGGTCACACTTCAAAGAAGCCATGTGACAAGCCTCACAGGGTCAGTCTTCTGAGGAAGACCAGAGTGACTGGTCGAAAGCTCTAGGTGAGAAAACTTTTTGTGTTGGATCTAAAGTTTTAACTGTAAACATGTAACTACCAACACAGATGTGCTTTCATGATATTCCAACTTCATGTATCCACAGCAAAGCTGAGAAAGTTCCCTTGTTCTCCACATCACAAACCTTGGGCTCCCCTTACCTTCCCACACCCCCCCCCTTGAGAAAATTAAAGAAAATAAAAAAAACACAATCCCCAGATGTGATGATCCATGTTGTAAACCCCCAGAACTGATCAGAAGTCAGTCCTCTTGTTTGTATGAACAACTTTTTTCCACTGCACAAAATTCTCATCTTTCAGCACACCTTAAAGTATACGTAAAGGTAGGGAAAGAGGAAAGAAACGTACCTTTACGCATGCTTTACAGTGTGCTGAAGAAGAAGAAGAGGCCAACAACAGTGTGCTGAAAAGGTGGATTTTGTGCAGTGTTTAGTTCATGTGGTGTTGTGATCCAGTGGGGGTATGTACACTGTACGTGTCATCACCAAAGTTTGGAACACTGTCGTGGGGTGTGTGCTGAAGGTTGGAACAGCCCAGCACTGGTGGGAATACAGTAGGCAGCCCGACGTCTCGTTCACCGCCTCTCTCTTTCCTTCCCTCGCTTGCTCCTGTTCTCCTGCAGACGTGCCGGCGTGGTTGAAGAGCCTGCGCCTGCACAAGTACGCGCCGCTGTTCTCGCAGCTGACGTACGAGGAGATGATGAACCTGACGGAGGAGCAGCTGGAGCAGCAGGGAGTCACCAAGGGAGCCAGGCACAAGATCGTCCTCAGCATCCAGAAACTCAAGGAGAGGCAGACCGTCCTGCAGCAGCTCGAGAAGGTGGGAGGGAAAGTGAAAAGTCAAAGTGATCGTGTGGAGAAGATGAAAAGTGAAAGTGATCACATAGAGAAGATGAAAAGTGAAAGTGACTGCATGGAGAGGGTAAAAGTGAAAGTGATCACATGGAGAAGATGAAAAGTGAGAGTGAAAGGTGAAAGTGATTGTGTGAAGAAGGTAAAAATGAAAGTGAGAGTGAAAAGTGAAAGTGATCATGTACGTGAAGAAGGTGAAAGTAAAAAGTGAAAGTGATTGCATGTTTAGTGAAAGTGATCAGATGGAGAAAGTGAAAAGTGGAAGTGATCACAGAATATGAAAGTAAAAAGTAAAAGTGATGGCACCTAGAAGATGAAAGTGAAAAGCGAAAGTGATAGTGTGGAGAAAGTGAAGAGTGAAAGTGACCGCTCTGAGAAGGTAGAATTAAAAAGTGACAGTCTCAGCACTGTCATTGTTGCGAAAGCAACAATTGTTAAAATTAAAAGTTCATGTTTAATTTCAAGTTCAGTAAACTAACTGTTGTCCGTTGTCCCCTTTAGGACATCCTTGAGCTGGGGAACCTGCGGAGCGCCCTGCTGGAGCTGAAGTCCATGCTCATCACCCCCATCAAGCCTTACACCCCCCTGGCAGACTCCCCCTCCTCCGCAGACGAGGGGGCGAGGAGAAGTCCCCCCCGCCCTCCCCGGCCGCCACGACAGACGGCGAGTCGACCACGGCGCCCATCCCTGAGGGGGACCTGCCGGGGCAGTTCACAAGGGTCATGGGGAAAGGTAGGGCAGTTTATAAAACATTAACTTAAACAAAACACTAGAGAAGTAACATTTGCAAAGCAAATGCATAATGTTTACCTTCGGACATGGTCTGCCCTGTTAATTCTTACTCAAACATATTCACATACATGTACTACTAGTATATGGTGACAGGAGCAGAGCAGACCATGAAGTTTGCAACATTATGTAACCCAACACCAGTCACCATGGTGACAGACATCAACAAATCATGTCATTGGCCTGGTCAGAGGTTAGCATTTCATTTATCAATGGACCTATACCATTATTACGTCACAGTTTGTTTACCTGTTCTAAAGAACATTCTAGAACGGTCAGTTAAAGAATAAAGATCATTTCAAAGTCAGGTATGTCTAATTTTTGCTGTGTCTAGTTGTGTTGACACAGCATTACATGCCGCATGGGTGATTTAGTTGTGACATTAGACGAAAGTAGTACTGTATTAAAAGCCTTATATCAGGCTAACGCTACACAAACACACACCGCGCTACGCACCCCTGTACAATATAAACATCGATTGACCGGCATTCATTGCTGTAAACAAACTGTGACGTAATAATGGTATAGGTCCATTGCTCTGACATTGACAATGTTTCTGTCCCTCTGTTCTGTTCTGCAGCTTGCACACAGTTGTTGGTTTCTCGACCGGATGACGAGAATGTGAACCTGTATTTGCAGCTCATAGAAAAAACATTAAACCACGAGGTGAGTAGAATATTTGGGCACAGCTTGTTGTATTTGCACCCCCTAGCAGAATAGTATTGAAGTGCAGGCAAGTTTGCCACTGCTGTTAAAACCATCATGCCACATTACTGGGAAAGTGTATTCAATACCTACCCTATCATGTCTTGTATCTATGTAAATAGTACTAACATAGTAATTCACTTGTCTTGTCCTTTGTTCACAGAAAATCAGTTATTTTTGTTCCCTTCTTTATTGTCCTTTTCTTTCCCTATGTTTATATGTACCGGATCACATGTTACTAACACGAGCACAACCTGCAGGTAGTCTCAGTTGTGGGGCTAGGCAGAAATGAACCTAGAATTTCACCTACCATTTATAGGAAAAGTTTCACAATGACTTCTACCAACTCAGACAAACTTTCATGATAATTATGTTTATGTTTATGTTTATTAGGAATCTCCATTAGTAATACAAAGTTTGTTTACTAGTCTTCCTGGAGTCCTTTAACATTACATTTAAAAGATGAAATATAATCAATTAACAGGTTAACTTAATAGCTACAATTATATACAACAACATTAGCTTAAATAACAGTATAACAATAACAATCTTAACACAATCTACACGTAGGCCTACTTGCTTATATGCACAACAATTAAAGCTAGCTATAGCTTGAATTACATACTTAAAATAAATTAAATTTATTTCTCTTTTTTTTTTGTAAATCCAAGGCGTTCACGAACACCCAGAAGAAGAGACTGTTGTCATGGAAACAGCAGGTGCAGAAGCTGCTGAGAAACTTCCCCAGAAGGAGCAGCATGGACAGCGGGAGACAGCCCAGAGGGTGAGCAAACTATGAAAGAGGTGCTAGTGTCACGGAAATAAAAAGAAACCTACAGTGGACCTCACTGGAAGACAGAAGAAAGATGTCCAGACTATGCATGATGTACAAAATGACTAATAAACTGGTGGATGTCCCAACTACTAAGTACCTAATACCAGCCCAGAAGAGAACAAGAAATAGCCATGCATTCAACTACCAGAGTTGTCAACCAAGAATTGAGGTGTTCAAGAATTCATTCTTTCCTAGAACTATCGCAGAGTGGAACTCACCGTCACCAAGTACAGTAGGGGCATTGTCAATAGATAGCTTTAAACAATGTCTAGAGATAGAAGTTAAAGGGTTAGGTGTAACAAGTCGATCGGTGTAATATAGCCAGCTACCGCGTGCCTGCGAAGCTGGTGTGTTACGCTGAAAGGTGGTTATACCGGCTATACAGATACAGATACAGATACAGACAGCCTGCTGTCCTGTTGAAAGTTAAAACTTTTGTTCCAACACAAAACATTCTCTCACCTAGAGCTTTTGACCAGTCACTCTGGTCTTCCTCAGTAGACTGACCCGGTGAAGCTTGTCACGTGACATCGTCTACCAGATACCTTTGACCCTGTGTTGACGTCACACTTCAAAGTAGCCACGTGACAAGCTTCACTGGGTCAGCCTACTGAGGAAGACCAGAGTGACTGATCGAAAGCTCTAGGTGAGAGAATGTTTTGTGTTGGAACAAAAGTTTTAACTTTAAACATGTAACTACCAACACAGATGAACTTTCATGATAGCCTGCTGTCCTATCACTCTGTCTTCTGTGTTTGTTCACAGCTCGAAATTTATTATTTTATTTATTCATTTATTACAATTTACCACATACAAAATGTACATGGAAGGCAGGGTTGAACAGGTGGACATACTGGTAGGGACACCTTTCCAACCACCGTGGCAGCACCCAGACATGCCAAATACTTTTTTCAAATTTTACCTGCACCACTTAGAATTTAGAAAGTATAGATCATACTAAAAACTGTTCAGAAAAAATTGCCATTGTTTCTTTTATATTTCAAAGCTGGTGACAGTTAATGCAGTACTGTTATTGAAAATCCACATACTCCTATATTTGTGTACTTGGACTGGAGCAGGTTAGGTGCAGGTATACATCAGAAATACCAGCACAGCTCTAATTATACCTTCTCTAACCTGCATACGCAGGTGGTATGTCGTGTCCTGAGTAGTATTTTTACTGCATCAGTACCAAGGTACCTTTCTTCACTTTTACATATTAAGTAACTCCAGCTCTACATGTAAAATCTCTCTCTCCCTTACCCAGATGGGGCCCCCAGCACGGTAACACCTTCCCCAACACCTACAGTATGTTCGGCGGGGTCGGATCCTTCGCAACAGCTGGTTCTGTTGCCGGGCAACGAGGACCACGCCCCCAGTTCCCGCGGCGACAGAGTTATGGTGGCAGCAAGGTGGGCATGATGGGAGGAGGTCCCCCCGCCAACCTGAGAACGATGAGCAACCCCACCGACGGACCCTACAGGAAGCAGGAGCAGGTTTGTTTGTTTGTTTGTTTGTTTGTTTGTTTGTTTGTTTGTTAACCTGAGAACGACCCTACAGGGAGCAGGAGCAGGTTTCTTTGTTGTTTGTTTGTTAACCTGAAAACGATGAGCAACCCCACCGACGGACCCTACAGGAAGCAGGAGCAGGTCTGTTTGTTTGTTTGTTTGTTTGTTTGTTTGGTAACCTGAGAACGACCCTACAGGGAGCAGGAGCAGGTTTGTTTGTTTGTTTGTTAACCTGAAAACGATGAGCAACCCCACCGACAGACCCTACAGGAAGCAAGAGCAGGTTTGTTTGTTTGTTTGTTAACCTGAAAACGATGAGCAACCCCACCGACGGACCCTACAAGAAGCAGGAGCAGGTCTGTTTGTTTGTTTGTTTGTTTGTTTGTTGTATGGAGAAGTGCTGAAGGTTTGTTGTGTTGCTGTGCCATTTCCCTACCATACATGATTGAACTTCTGAACCACAGTGAGACATTAGTATGCCCTTGACTATTTGTATCAACTGACAATTATGCCCAATAGCTGCACTGTTAAGTTTTTTTAATTTGTCGAACTATTCTTCTTCTTACTAGTACATGTATCTGATAAACCGGCAGATTTTATTCTGATTGTTTTTACTTCAGTGTTTTACATGTGAATATGTCTCTTACTGAATTGTTGTCATGTCACAACGCAATGCAGCCATTCTGGCTGTCATGTTTGCGACAGTGTTGAAATAAACCATTCATAATTATTCCCTGTACAGATGCAGAGAGCCCACGCCACAGTACAGAGAACAAAGTCGGCACCCGTCAGACCATCACAGCCCTCCTTCATGTTTCCTAGACAAGGTAATGATCACTAAATCAAAGTCAACTCTCTAAGCTACCTTGTTGGCTCTTTAAGCTACCTTGTTGGCTCTCTAAGCTACCTTGTTGGCTCTCTAATCTACCTTCTTGGCTCTTTAAGCTACCTTGTTGGCTCTCTAAGCTACCTTGTTGGCTCTTTAAGCTACCTTGTTGGCTCTCTAAGCTACCTTGTTGGCTCTTTAAGCTACCTTGTTGGCTCTTTAAGCTACCTTGTTGGCTCTTTAAGCTACCTTGTTGGCTCTCTAAGCTACCTTCTTGGCTCTTTAAGCTACCTTGTTGGCTCTTTAAGCTACCTTGTTGGCTCTCTAAGCTACCTTGTTGGCTCTTTAAGCTACCTTGTTGGCTCGAGAGACAATAGGACCACTCCATGGGTCAGTCTCACTCTGTGTTCAACTTGGTAAGTTTGTTGCAGTGTCTGCTGTGGCTGTATAGTCTAATTTTTTACTTTAACGTTCTGTTATACAGTTTTGCATGTGCATTCCTCAATGATGTTTCTGTCTGCACTCCCTCCTTGCCTCCCACTGGTCCAAACTTGTAGCCATTGACTAAATTGTGTCCCATGTTATAGTAATTACATGTACAGTGTAGTACTGTTGCCATCTTCCTCCCAAGACAATTTTGTTGAAGAGGTTCATCAAGTCACGTAGAATTATCAGTTAGTAGTATATTCATCAATCAGTGACTCTTTTTAAAGGTAAAAGCAGCGACGTACCTCCTCATTTTCGATGTCTACTGTACATCTTGATCACGGAGTGATCTAGTCTTGCGAGAACACGAGACTAGGTCACTCCATCATCAAGATGTACAGTAGACATCAAATATTTTTACTGCAACATACTTTTGGTATGCACTCCTGCACACCTCAAATGTACATACCTAGGGTATGTTGCAGTAAAAATATCTTTAAGCACACTATTTCTCAAGGTGGCGATATTTTGGACCCTGGTGATATTATGGACACGGATGTTACGTGTTTTTACCTTTAAAAAGAGTCACTGATTCAAGACAATTTTGTTTTTCATCCTGACCTGTTTCCCCCCCCCCCAGACTACTCGGTGGCTGCAGATCCTACAGAGATCAACAACCGACTGGAGTCCCTGTGTCTCAGCATGACGGAACATGCGTTAGCAGGTATGCAATGGACTTTCAGGCCACGCCAATTTAATTTCTTGGTTAACGGATTTCTCTAGAAAAATGATGGCGGGCGAATAAATATAAAAACAGGCCTAGGCATCCTATTATGGCCCAAAAAGGTTCAAAATTTAAACAATGAATTTTGAACTTTGAAAGATGGAATTGCATTGAAAGATGGAATAAGTGTAACAACTAGGATGAAAAGGATTGTTTTCAACTGTTCAGAGCAAAATATGAGCTTTTTGCAGATGATTCTGAATTTTTATTTTTATTTGCAAATCAGAAAAAAATGAAGCAGGCAAATCCGTTAACCAAGAAATTAAATTGGTGTGGCCTCAGCATGTCATAACTGATGTCTATTATCATTGATGCGCTATGTGTAATAAAAAGACATACAAATTTAGATCAGAAGTCTTTCTTGTCACAAGATTGAAGTGTGATGATCTAGGCTTAGGCTTGCTAATATGTTAAAAAGGTGTGTGTGTGTGTTGCAAGTCTGTTGAATCAAAGTTAAAGTAAGCAACAGCCGTTAAACTAAAAGTTGTAACCTTGTCTCCTAAGCCTTGTCTTAAAGTCATCTCTGTGTTTTCAACACTTATTTTTGTGTTTGCTAACTAGCAACCAATCATGTCTCCTTACAAAATGTATTTACTAACAGGAAACCAATCGAATCTTGCCTTACAAATGTATTTGGTAACAAGCAACCAATCATATCTTGCCTTTCAGATGTGTTTGCTAACAAGCAACCAATCAAATCCTGCCTTACAGATGTGTCTTTGCAAACAAGCAACCAATCAAATCCTGCCTTACAGACATGTTTGTCAACCAATCATATCTTGCCTTACAGATGGTGCTGATCGGACATCCACATTCTGAAGAGTAGAGTCAGAACAAGACAGAAGAGAATTAAGAGTATATAGAGAAGATATAGACCTATATGTAGTCAAGCCAGTTGACCTGCAAAGAAAATGGAAACTAGATCACCAAGAGTCTTGGTTATACTGAGTTGTGTTCAACGTTTGCCCACGATTTCTTCCACTGTTTGTGGGGCGGTAGGCCTTTGCCACTACCCACATGTTATCTCAATAATGTGTTTCTGGTATCTATCCCATTGATACAGATTCAAGCAGTGTTTGTTACCATTATTGTGGAGAGGTGTGTGAACGTTTTGTAACAGTCTCAGTGAGACACAGTGGTTCTATACAAGGACAAAGTCTTGCAGGCAAGTTTATACTACGATAATGTCTTGTACGTGCATCCCGCTTTCGTGTCCAGGCAAATCCTGGCACCAGGAAAAAATGCTGCAACTTTTGCTTCTGCTTTCTCGAGTGGTCTGAGGACAGACTGTGACTGAGGATATACGTTACGAACCTTGGCTGGGCATGGCTGTCAAGTCTGTAGTCTGTGTACTGTAATTCATTTTATGTTCATGGTAGTGCTGCATACCGGTTCACTGGACTTGGATCCGGACTTGTAAAAATGTTTAGGTTCAAGTCCAAAAAAACCTAAAAGTCAGGAACCGAGTCCGGACTTATTACCATAAAAGACCGTTTTACATACCCCTTTTCTTTCCAAAGACCTGAACCTAAAAGTGGGTTTAGGTATGCACCACTAGTTCATGGTTCCAAAATTTCAAGGTCTGAGAAAAATGGACATGTTCACGGAACTACATATTCACAGTGGTGGCAGGTGCAGGAAAAACAAAGTTCAGGAATTATTTGTTTTAACTGTTATGATAAGTTCACGGTACAGAAACAACAGTGAAAACAGTGAACATAGAAATATTGTGAAAAAATCAGGAATTACAGAAACACAAAGTCTGCCGTCCGTGGCTTTAGTAGCCCCTTCAGGACGCGGCTGGATGTTGGGCGTAAAAATAAAGTGATTTAATCAGGCTATCAAGTCTCGGGTACAACACTGTTTCAGGCTTGCTAGACTGACCAGCCCCCCCCCCTTTATATCCAGAGCTTCTTCGCCAAAAATTAAATTGGAGAAAAATGTTTTGTACGTGCATTTGTTTTTGTGGTCAAGGACTGAATCAAAAGTACCACAAGACCAGGTAAAATTTTGTGAGCACCATAGTTTTCCTGGATGCAAAATTTTCCCACTGTCTAATTATAACATCCATTCTTGAAACAGAGAGTGCAACGTAATCTTAACTCTACGTACATGATTGTAGTATACAACTACAAGGCCCTAGATTGTCAACACAATGAGAGAATGAAACTTCAGTGTTTGGATGAGCTGTTGCCCAACTGGAATAAATCTTTCTACCTGTTATGTGGCCAAAGTTTTGCCTAAACAACGTTGCAAGGTTGCCAACATGCAATTTTGTATATGCCATGGGTTTAGGTCCGGACTTACGAGTCCGGAACTGAACCTAAACCTCTGGACTTAATCCAGACCTGAACCTAAATGCGGGTTTAGGTACACAGCACTACTTGGAACCTTCGTAGGGCACTTGACAGCCATTAGCAGGCAGGGTTCATTGTTACTGATACTGCCATGTCCTTACATGTTGCATTGGTGTAAACCTACTACAGAAATGTGCGCTGTGACCTGCACGCGCGTACCCTTCTGCCCTATTGTAAATGTATATATATATATATATATATATATATATATATATATATATATATATATATATATATATATATATATATAACAGTGCAGAACCTGCAGTTCTAGTAGACTACGTGATGTTCCTCTATTCTTGCAATTGTACGATATACATATATATATATATACTATAATAATGCTGTGCATCAAGTGGTTATTTTGCATGAGATTTTTGCCATCCTGGATCAGGATCAAGTGAAGTAAGTCCCTGCCATTGGTGATATGAAAGAAAAGTGTGACTTGCAAGTTTCTCTACATGACTGGGCTCTTATAGCAGTGCCTGGCTGGCAGGACTGGAGAGGGTTGACTACTAACGTTATACACAAGGAAATTGTTTCTCAAGCAACTTGATAGATTTTGAAAACTGTCGGACGTTTCAAGCAGCATCCACTACTTTTTGTCAGCGACTAACGGAATCTGTAGTTGACCCAAGTCTTTGATCACTGAACATTTGTTAACAGCAGTTTTGAGGGAAAACTTCTTTCATGGTTGTTCAACATATTGTAAATCGTCACTCCAATATTTGTCAATGCTGTCTTGTGGACGTATGATAACCCATATGTCCCCAAAATTGTATGTTTTGAAGGGTTTGTAGCTTTAAAAGCCTGTTTTTCTTGATAACAATGTTGTACCATAGTGCCGGAAGAAATTACCTCTACAAAAAGTTTGTTTAAACCCTATTTATTGCAATCTTTGGTCTTTGCCTGACAAGTCCAGTGATCTTGAAGTCAATGTACATTTTGCTTGAAGAAAAAGAACATGTTCACAGAACTCTGACATATGAAACAATGCTTTTAAAAACAAAAGACAACTCCTTGTGCCTGTAAAGAAGTCTGTTTGACCATGCCTTGAGCTAAAGAATGAATTACACACTGAGATCAACCCCAGTCACTGTCAGCCTTGTACACTGCAGGTCCCTACGTGATTCACTTTGTACATGTACATAGATACTGTTATATATTCAAGGAGAACAATAGTATGAGGCTCTGTACATACATTGGCCCTATCGTCAGCTTATCAGACATCCGTGTGACTAAACTGTTCTACTTCTACGCCAGGGCTTCCACTAGCTGTAAAATGTTCCTACAGCCCAACCCTCACTCGTGGCGGAAAATCCTTGTGGAAATTTGTCTTATATCAAATTACAACGGCTCTGATTTTGAATTCAAAAATGAACAATTCGATAGCGGCAGCCTCTACAATCCTATCTGCTGCTGACGTAAGGAATTAGGTTTGAACCAGCTTTTCTCCAAACTCATGCCAACTGGTGTGGTTCAATCAAATGTGAAGCTTTTCCAATTAACAAAACAGGAGGCTTGAGGTCAGAAATATCTGATACAAGTCGTGAAATTCTGTGGAACGTTTGAATCTCTCTGAGGCTGGTGGAAGTCTTGCCCTTATATAGTCCCGTCTACATGAAATAAACGGAGGAGTTTGATTGGTTGGGTGATTATGACGTCGTGGCCCAGGACCAATCACAGTGCAGGACTCTGTTTTTAGTCAGAATTTGAATCTTCTGAACACGGTCTCGACCGACGTCACCCATTGGTGCATCATCAAGCCTCCGCCCAAGCTGCCATCAAACTTCCGGGTTATGTCGTTATAACTCCATCTCAGATAAACCTTTTACAACTGTTTCACCTGGATTGAAGCCAGGTTCTTCCGATTGTGGAATAATTATTCTTTCCAGGGTTGAGTCAAAGTTCTTATTACATTTCTAGAAGAATTTGACATTTTTTACCCCAACATGTGCAAGATACGGCCAGTAGACTCGTTCAACAAAAACTCTCCAGCTCTCTGTAGGGCCTGGTGTGTACAGAGTTGTAAATGTCAAATGGACCTACGATGTATCGTAAAGTGCTGAACAGTGTAGAACAGATGTGAAACTGTTTTTTTTTTTTTCTACTGAGTTGGGTACGCTCGGCACCCGTTCTACATGTAGTAGGTCCAAATGTCTTGCAGAGCTCAATGTGTTCTCGGTTGGGCACAATGTTGTTAAGTAGTCTTTGTACATGTTGAGAGATGGCTACGTTATAGAGGGTAAATGTTGATATATAGCACTATGATACAATATATCATTTACGGTATTCTATAATACTAAACTGGAATTGACAACTTAGTACGTAGTGCATGAGCGAGATACTAGGTATGTGCTAAGTTCGTACTTCTACTATTATTATTATTATTAATGCTGTCATATCTACATTATTTTTGCAGAAATTTCCACAAAGGGGGATGTACCCCCGAAAATATTTTGATTCATATGGATATTTTAACCTATTTGGTATATCGTACCCGTGGCCAGGGTTCCCATTTGACAAGCCTGGTGCATTCCTCTGAGAGGAACAACACTATATTTTTTTTCTCTACGCCTTTAGGGTTAGATAACGGGAAATGTAGAGTTGGCGGCAGGTTTCAGGTGGTATTTCTATTGGTAGTTGTGGACTCTCTGATATGTAAATTGATTGATGCTGCCTCCTGATTGGATAATTAGTGTGACTGACGGGATACATCCTTTTTTTTTTGCCCCTTGATTGGTCACTTCCGGGGAGAAACGGTTTACATCTGACTCAAAAGAAAGGATGTATTGTGTAACTGAAATGGTTTGCAAAGTTTGTGAAAATATGGCAGCACTAGGTACATGATTGAAAAGCTGTAATAGTTGAAAGAATATAATGGATGCTGTTTACACTGCAAAAAAAACTTACAGATGTTCAGCTGCCTGAATACTATGAGGATACTTATGTTGTAATCTGAACCTTAGTGAATTGCTGGCAAGAATAGAACTGATGTTTAATAGAATTTTGTGTTTAGATTTTGCGGGACACGAAATGCTGCCTTATGTTGGACACTACTTTTTGTGGGCAGTCATGTTCCTGTTCACTGAGAACTAACAGTCGACAGTGGGAAACGGTGTTTCAGTGTTCAAACCACAACTACATTGTATGATTGGTTATTGCTGTTCAATGAAAGGAGATGGCCTTTTAGCGGAATGGGGAAAAACAGTAGCATTTGTAAGGAAGAAACACTCAGTTGGAAAAAATGTGAATGCTTACACAGTTTGATACCAAGGAAAACAATTTTTTACATGGCCCAACATCACAACCATTGAACAGAAAAATCTGTATTTCTTCTCCATCTTTCTTAGTCTGATGCCTTCTAAGTTATTGTGGCATTCAAGGTGTTGCACAACTAACTCAGAAGGACTTCATACTTTTCTTTTATAAAACAGAAGACTTTGTATGAAATTACATCCAGTTCTTCCCAATTGGCCCTCTAGAAACCTACTCAATTTTAACCGCGGAAAGAAACTTCCATCGTGATCCTTGATATTTTCCATGACTGATGACATTCATAACTGACTTTGGCACAAGTTTACCCACCTGAAGTGGGAACAAAAATGGGACTACTGTAAATGTTCACCGACAGTCTCAAAATGATCCACAAATTGTTTTGGTCCACGAGCTACACTAATCAAAAAAGTTGGTTCTCAAAGTGGTAGTAAGAAAGTTTGCTCCTGGAGACAGAAAGAATGTAATCATAAAGGCACATACATGTACATGTACTTTGTTGCACAATACTAACTCTACAAGCAGGGTAGTGAGACAAAACAGCTTCAATGTGGAACAATTCTGTACCCTTATCTTCCTTGTCAGCATTGTCTCAACCATGTAGAGAGAACCAAAGCTTTGCAGAACTGAGATTTTGTTTGAAGAGTTCCTAGTCACATTACTGATGTGTTGCTCCTATAGCGAGTATCTAGTGATCTAACTTGCCTCCAGTCTTGTTATATTAATAAAACACACACTGAGTTTCTCTGTTTCTCCTTGCCCCCATGCTGACAAGTACGTATACTGCAATCATGCAAACGTGGTGTGGTT